TGTTAAATGAGGACTTTAAAAGCCTCTTGCTGAGTGGTCCCCATCACTGTTGACCAAATGTTTCAAGATGTAGGCATAAACTGTTTTTGTCAGTTTTTCATGTACAGTGTAATTTTCAAGTAATAGTGTGCTTTTCTACTTTGAATGATTAAAAACATAAGCGTGTCAAGTTTAACAAGGTCTTTTTTTTTTTGCAAGTTTCTCTTACCTACCTGGTTTACTTGGAAACAGTGCTGAACTTGACTTCAGTGACTTTTGTCTAGAAGAGATAGCAAGATTTTTCTCTTCATAGAAAGGAAAAGGGGACCAGGAACTAGAGAAAAGGTTAGATCAAAAAGAATTAACCTAGAAGGTAACACCCACGCACAGGAAATCAATGTGAGTCAATGCCCTGTATAGCTATCCTTATCTCAACCAGCAAAACCCCTTGTTCCTTCCTATTATTGCTTATACTCTCTCTACAACAAAATTAGAGATAAGGGCAAAATAGTTTCTGCTGGGTATTGAGGGGGGGGGGAGCGGGAGGGGGTGGAGTGGGTGGTAAGGGAGGGGGTGGGGGCAGGGGGGAGAAATGAACCAAGCCTTGTATGCACATATGAATAATAAAAGAAAAATGAAAAAAAAAAAAGAAATACACATCACATAAAAAAAAAAAAAAAAAGAAAGTTCCTAGGCAACAGTTGTCTCTTTCTAATGGATATGTAAAAACAAGGTATAGTTCCTTCAGATTACTTTTGGCCCTTCTTGTCTTTCGCCCTCCAGCATAGCAGATTTTGCCTTAACCGTTTCCAGTTCCCTACTCTTTCAATTACACACTTGCTGATGATGTACACTAGCATATGGATGAATCCAAGTTAAATCTAGAGAAACTGGCTTAAACGTGGGAACCAATCTCCTGTAGTCAAAGTTGAGATAATAGAAAAGTAGAGTCATTTTAATTCATAGTATTATAAGAATGGCACAGATAGAATTAGAAGGAGATATGTCTGGACAGCCTCAGCAGTCAGAGCAGAGTTAAGATCCAATCAGCCTGGCCAGTGACTGTACATAGTTGTAGAGGTGGAAGGCCTGCCTAATGTGAATCCTGGAAGTCTGTGCTTTTGTACGGAGTCACTGCAGATGCTTCTAGTACCATCAGCTCCTTTTCACAGGGGACTAACCTACCTACAATTTAAGGTTACTAAATATTAAAAATATTTCTAAGCTTCCTTCCTACTTTGGAAATAGAAACCCTTAATGATAATTTAAATCACTACTTTTTTATTTTGGTGGGACTGGGGTTTGAATTCAGGAATTCAGGACTTCACTCTTGCAAAGCAGGCACTCACGAAGTGGGCATTCTATCTCTTGAGCCACACCTCTAGTCTATTTTGATCTGGTTATTTTGGAAGTGGGGTCTTATGAACTATTTACTTGGGCTGGCCTTGAACCGTGATCCTCCTGATCTCAGCTTTCCAAATAGCTAGGATTACAGGCATGAGCCACTGATGCCTGGCTCCAAATCACTATTATACCAAATACTGGGAAGTTATTATCAGAGAGGTTAAGTGATTTGCACAAAATCACATATGATTTTGTGGCTAAGCTGCAAGTAAGCCTGGGTCTCTGACTTCCTCAAATTAGTGTTCCTTTTTTTGATCCATGCTGTCTTTGCTTATTCACTCAATTAGCATATGTAATTAAAGGGACTCTAATTAGTTTGGCTGCTAAAGGCTTTTGTGGCTGTAGTCAGATTGGCAGTGAGGTTGATTTTGAGTTGTGGCCAAATTTTGTTGGTTAGTTATTTCAGAGTTTTTGAAGTCATTACATTGATGGTGAGATTATTTAAATGTCTTTATTTGTTTAGAAAACATGCGTTTGTGGTACAAATTAGAGATTTACTATACTGTACCAAATATATGTAGTCACTAGATAGAGAGTAGTTGTGGCCAAGGTAGTGGCGACATTCCATCTATCACTATCAGTGTGTGTTTTTTCTGGGGCTGTGAGCTTTGACAGTACTTTACTGTATAATTGAGGGGTTAGCAGTACTCTGGCAAACCAAGCATCCTAAGAAGCAGATGCTAGGGATGCAGGGGGTTGGTGGACCACCCCATGTATTTGGCAGTTGGATGAATTGGTACTGCCTGTTCATAGGCATGAGACACTTGGAAGTGTGAAGCACTCTTAGATCTGTGAGCTAATTGTTGGTACCCTTCAGGGGATCTCTCAGAGGTTATCTATATGAAACTGAATTTCTTTCAGTGGAAGAGAACTCCCAATTCTTAAAAGGAAGCTTGAAATTGACTCAAACTTTAAGGCTTACTGATATCCCTGGGAAATCTAGAGATGGAACTACTGTAGAAAGAAAGGTCATTGAAATGTGTGATATCATTTTGTATTGTATTTACTTCATTTACGTGTGGTGAACAAATGGGGCACAGGAACCTATGTTCTTGAGATAGTCATGTAATAGAGAGTTATGACTCTTACAACCTTCTTATCTCTTCATTGTACTGAACTGACTGAGCTGTGCTTTCTCCTTCCCTGCTTCCTCCCTCTCTCCCTCCCTCTCTGTCCCTCTCTTCTTGTCTTCCCTCCCTCCGCCCCAGAGACTGGGTCTTACTGTGTAGCCTACACTGGCAATTTGCTGTGCAGCCCAGGCTAGCTTCAAACCCATGATCCTCCTACCTCAGTCTCTTCAGTGCTGGGATTACAGATGAACATAACTACATCCAACCTTGAGCTGGGTTTCTCTTAAGTAAACTTGAACTGTTACCAGGAAATTGTTGCTTCTTTTTAAATCTCAGTATTTATTTGTGTTTAGGAAAAGTTTTAATGTAGTTTAAATATTTGTGACTTGAGGGATTTTACATTTTTGGAATTATTTGTGGCAAATCTTTAGATTGAGATACTGGAAAAGAGGATATTTTTTGTTCTAGGGGCTGAGATATTTAATATATTCCCTATTCTATTAATACACAAAGTTCTAGGATACTTGATTTATGAAATTTTAATTCATAATTTTTCTTTTTTGTCAATTCTGGGTTTGAATTCAGGGCTTTGTGCTTGTTAGGCAGGTGCTCTACTACTTGAGCTACATCCCCAGCCCAAATTGTATGAAATTTTAGAGAATTATTTGCAAAAATGTTTTATTAAGTTTGATTTAGAAGCTGATAATCTCTTTCTTTTTTTGCTTTTTTGGTTTTACCTAGGTTTGAACTCAGGGTCTCACTCTTGTTTGGCAGGTGCTGTACCACTTGAGCCACTTTACCAGCCCAAAGCTGATAATCTCTAATGGAAGTTTGAAATGTAATTACTTCTAGCTCATAATATTTAGATTATACACTATGTTTGGTTTTCCATTCTTTCACACACACATCAGACACACATAAAAGATAAAAAAGAAAATGTTCTGTAAACTTCCACCACATGAAAAGCAAAAGACATTCCCATTTCTAAGAGGCCTACTCATCATTTCATGTTTTCTAGAAAGAAATATGTCAGTTTCCACAAATATAATGTATGTAGGATTTTTGTATATGTAAATCTTTCTGGAGAGAGGTCTTCAGATACCTATCAGATAGTCCTTTGTCTTTTTTTTAAATAGAGAAAAGGCATTAGAGAAACTTGGGAAGCAGGGATGTTGATTCCTTCTACTGAAGGAGAATTTGAGTCAGAGTGAGCTCCTGATCTCTTCTTACCTCTTTGGTTGCCATCTAGCTGGCCAGGTGTATCAACATGTATGTTTGAGGGAAAGTGTGAGCTGAGGGCGTGGGGAGAAGGTGAGGAAGAGTGCATGTATGCATGTGTGCACCCACACATAACAGAGAATGGCAGAGCAACTTTACAGTATGTTTGTGGTCATTTTAAAGCAGAAATGAGGGTTGAGAGGGTGCCTTGACACCTATTTATGTGTCTGTCTTGTGTATATAGTTTCCACATGAGTTTGGGTAACTCTGCCAGTGTTCCTGGTGGTCAACTCTCAGTCATGGCAGTAAGTGCTCATGTCCTTTTCTTGACCTTTTTCATGAAACTGTGTGATATATTTTTTTTCCTTTGGCCCGAAAACAGAAACTGGAGGATGGTGGTGATTGGCATGAGATTTTGCTAGGGATTTTGTTATTCATTGAGTCACTAGTGAATCCTATAGTTGGGCTTAGCTCTGTTGTATTAGTATATTTTTCTTGTCAAAGCATATAGAGTAGAACCTTGGTATGTATCTACAGGAACATGGTTCCAAGGAGACAGTTCCCAGATACCCAGGAAAAACCCTCAGTGCTCAGGATGCAGAGTTAGGTGCTGTACTGTGGAAGCTTGGTTCATTTTTTTCCTTAACGCCACCCAACTTCGCTAAAAACACACCACTTTTCAATAAATGTCAGATTTTCACTTTATCACTTCAATTAAGCATATTCACTTTTACCTTGCTTTGGGGCATCATTTGCTTGTTAGGCATATTTTCACAAAATTAAGGGCAGGGAAACACTTAGCAGATCACACAGGATTTAAACACTATAGACAATAATGCAGGACTGACTGACTGCTTCTCTGTGTCAGCTGAGCTTCATAATACATATATGGGAATTAAAAATTATTTTGAAATTTCTTTTGATTTTTAGAATTTATTAGTTTGGGTTGTGCTTGATCAAAGCTCTGTGTAATAAATCTGTGAATAAAGTGAGATTACTGTCTACTGTTTAAGAATCCTGTTTAGAAGAACCCCCGAGCAATGCATCTATTCCCAAGACTGTTGGGTTTTGCCCTTAACCCATCAATTCCCTTCACACTTTTGTATATAAACAGTAGATTTGATTCCACAGAAACTGTTTGTGTACAAGAAATAGACTCTGTTTTAGATAGTAAGCTTTTTTACTTTTTTTGTCATTTGTAAACACAGATTGGTTTTTATGTAGTGTCGCTGTTATAAGTATGCATTTAAAAAGTGGTTCCTACTTATGCTCTGGAAACTACTTACATTTTCATTTAAATAATGTGCCTTTGCAATTTTTTTTTTAAAGGTAGTATCTTCCCCAGCAGATGTAGCCGAAAAGGCTGACAGAATTATTACAATGCTGCCCACCAGTATCAATACAGTAGAAGTTTATTCGGGAGCAAATGGAATTCTGAAGTATGTATTTCTGAACTATAGATATTTTCTTGTTATGATACTTTGTTAGAACTATTAGGAAATTACAATTGTGTTTGCTAAACCTTTCTACACTGTTTTCCTATTTCATAAGGTGAACAGTGTGATTTCTTTCTCATTGTAAAGGGTTTATTTTTTCACAGAAGTCAAGTATGTGACTTTTGGGAATAAGGGTGTTTCTTTGCTTCTTTCCTTTAACTCTTTCATTTAACTTACCCTTTCATTGGTAATATGTTTAAGAGAATTTTAAAGCTTGCATGTTAAACTGTATCACTATTAAAAGTGTAATTTTCTTATAGCTTATAGAAATTTAGAAAAAACTTTCTATGAAAAATAAAACCAAATGTTGGAAAGAGCACTTGTTATTTAACATTTTATTATATAATGAAAAGTTATTGTGTGTCCTCTGGGTTAGTACATCTGTAGTAAGAACTCTGGGAAGTTGGAATTAAAGGTTAGCAGTAGCTCTTTAAATAAAATATAATTTAGTTCAGAGGTTCTTAGCCACTGCCTATCTTTCCTGACTCTGACCCTTTTGGTTAATTACTGCTTACTGCCAAATCCTCCTGGCTATGTTAGGATGATAGGGTTGATTTCCCTCTTCTGGTCTTATAGTTCCTATTCCTACCTAAATTATTTACTGAATTTTAGCAAAGAGCTAGTACAAACTAGTAGGCCCTATAGACACATAAAGGGCAAAAAGAAAAGTTTAATTTCAGGAAACTGTTACATATGAAAGTCCTTTTTTTTTTAAATTGAATTGCTTTGGAAAACTAAGTTGGAAGCAAAAGACACTTGGACATTAGGCAGAAAACTGATAAGGTAAATGTTTAGATTTCTGGGATGGTTGAAAGGCATCCATTTTGGATAGAGCTGGCAGGCCCACAGTGCGTGTGGTCCTGAGGTATCCTGGCTGACTCATTACCTAGTCTATTTTTGTCATGGCCCTGCTTTACCTCTCAAGGAAAAGTTACTGAAAACTTGTGTGGAGACACACCCTACATTTATTAATATCCTTTACTTTGGAGGATGGTGGCCAACTACCAGACCAATTTTGTCCAGAATGCTTTGAAGGAGTTTGACGTTATGTTGAAACATAATTTGTCTCTCTTGGATAATTCTTTATTTTCTTCTGGGTCAGGATCATTTCCCCACACCCAGTGTGTATGAAATTATTAAGGAGATTTCCCGTTTGTTTTAAAATTTAAAATCTTAAAAAAATACCAAAATCTCTAGGTGCTGATTTGCTCACGCCTATAATCCTAGCTACTTGGGAGGCTGAGATTGGGAGGATCCCATTCAAGGCCAATCCAGGCAAACAGTTCAAGAGACCCCCATCTTCAAAGTAATCATAGAAAAATGGACTGGAGGTGTGGCCTAAGAGATAGAGACCTGCTTAGCAAGCTTGAAGTCCTGAGTTAAAAAACCCCCAGTTCCTCCCTGAACAAACAAATCCTCCCAAATCATGGAAGACTGAAAAACTTCTTATTTTTTAGGTTAAAGTGAAAGCTACATACTGAGATAATATGATGTAGTAGTTTGCTGTGTTTCTTCCATGGAATATACCCAAGCATTGCATTTGAACTGAATAATTCATATGTTTAGAATTGTTGCTTAAATCATTTTTGTGCTATTTTTTTCCTGTAGGAATATTTTACTTTTTTTTCATATTTATTTACTTACTTGATGGGACTGGGGTTTGAACTCAGGGCTTCTTGCTTGCAAAACAGATGCTTTACCATTTAAGTCACACCTCCTATTTTTCTTTTTTAGGAGTTTTATCAATGATTTTTTTTTCTATACTCTCCTTTAATATTTATTGAGTTCTGATTCTCCAGTCATGATTCTGTGTCCTGTGGGTTAGTACTGCGGTTTGAACTCAGGGCCTTGCATTTGCTAGGCAGGCTCTCTACCACTTACACCATTCCACCAGCCTGCCATTGTTCTTTTCATAAATTATAATTTAGGTCAGAGTTCTTAACCTTTCAAAGTAGGCATTACCTAACAGATAATAAAGAAAGTATGTAAGTACGTATTCCTCACTGCCATTTAAATATTTATGTAAAATATGATACTTAGAAAGACTGCATGCCCCTTTTCTCCAAATATGTATTTTAATTTACCACAAAGAATAAAAACTTTGTGAAATTTCCAGATTCATTCCTGTATTTTTCTTTCTACCTGTTTGATATTTTATTTTGTGTTTTAAAAAGTTTTCAATTATAAAAAGATATACTATCCTGAAGCAATGGCTAGATTTCAGTTGCTTATGTTTATTCTATATAGTGGAAATGATGTAGATATGTGAAATTTGCAGTATAACTTGTTAAGGATAAATTTTTTAAGATTCAGTGACTTTACATACCAAAATTTAAATTCTATTAAATAAAATACCCCTTTAAAGTTAATAGGTGTTTTAAGTTGCTTACATTGTAGCTTTACCTGTATTAGTCTGGTTAGTGTGTACTTTACATGTAACCAGAATTTATATGATGGAGTGTATTAGATTTTTTTGATCTGTTTGGAAGAATATGGGTTTACTTTGAAATATAATTGATCTGGAAGTAAACATGAGATTTTTGAACCAGTTCTAACTAATAATGTATTTAGTACTAAACCAGTGACCTCCTTGATGTCTCGCAACTTTTAGCTGATTCTGTATGTTCTGTAGGTAGTTATATGAAACGTTTATTCAAAGTTATAAACTTTAAATATTTTTATTTACCTAGAAAAGTGAAGAAAGGCTCATTATTAATAGATTCCAGTACTATTGATCCTGCAGTTTCAAAAGAATTGTCAAAAGAAGTTGAGAAAATGGGAGCGGTTTTCATGGATGCCCCTGTTTCTGGTGGTAAGTGGTAGCTAAAATATATACACACTTAATAATGTTTGTCGCAAGTAACCATGGTTTTATGCTATTAGTTATTTTTAGACCTGTTAAAGGATTTTTAATTTCTCATTAAAAATAAAAACAAACCAAAATTGGCATGATATTTAGTACTCTGTCAAGATACATGGCTGGTTCTAAATTCATGTGAAAGGATGTTACAGCTTTGAAAAGCTATGAATTTTTGGTCCAACTATTGGGATAGAGAAAGATCAGGTTCTAGACATTTACTTTTAAGAACTAATTCAAGAAAAATAATTAGCTTGACTGATCCTGTAACTTAAAGAAACTGAAGAAGTGATTAAAAAAAAAAATCATTCCACAGGGAAACATTAGGCCCAGATAGTTCTACAATTGCTAGCAAAATTCAAGAAGAGCATTAAGCCGATGGCCAGTGGCTCACGCTTGTAATCCTACCTACGTGGGAGGCTGGAATTGGAAGGATCGAGGTTTGAGGCCAGCCCAGGCAAATAGTTTATGAGACCCAGCTCCAAAAATAGCCAGAGCAAAATGGACTGGAGGTGTGGTTCAAGTGGTAGAGCACCGCAATGCCCTGAGTTCAATCTCCAGTTCCACAAAAAAAAAAAAAATCATCAAGAGTTCATATGTGCTTTTCCAGACAATAGAAAATGAGAAATACTTCCCAGTTTATTGTACAAAACCTGTAACTGATTACTGAAACCAGAAAGAAATAATAGGAGAGAAATTATATGTTGTATATTTTCAGGCATGAATATAGTAGTAGAAACTTTTTAAAAAGTATATTCGCAAACCAAATCCAACCATGCATAAGAGAGATCAAATGGTGCAAACCAACTTTGGTTTATCCCGTATATACAGAGGTGGCCTAATATTAGAAAAATCTATAAATGTAATTCACTACTTAATGTAGTTACAAGCCATAGGAAAGATGAGGAGACCCACTAATGAAATTCTAAAACCTTTTATTCTGTCAAATAATAACAGGGTCTAGGTATTTGGGAATGGTAGGGTTACAGATATGATTTTCTGTAATTTCCAAATTTCCCCAAATTACTATATAATCAAAACTTCCCTCTCCCTCCCTCTCTCTTTCTCTCTTTCTCTCTCTCTCTCTCTCTCTCTCTCTCTCTGTCTCTCTACATATATATATATATACACATACACATATATACATATATATGTAGCAGTATACAACAGAATAAGGATTTCATTCCCATTGTATTAAACTTGATTGTGACTGTTAGAATTAAAAAGTAAGATAGAATAATTTAAATCAGTTCCTATTTTTTCTCACAAAGAACTTAGTGATCTTATTTTTAAATAAGAAATTCAGACCATTTTTGAATATGGGTAAAGGAATAAATAATTGTTAGTTCTTATTATATTGAATTGGTTAAATAAGCTTTAGTTATAAAGACGTGAAATGTAGCTTAAGCACTTTAATTACAAAATACTAGTAAGCTTGGTGTTGGTGGGCTTTTAATAAGATGGACTTAATAAACTGAGCAATTCTTTCTTTGAATCTGCACTTGAATTAAAAACTGCTATGGTACATATGATCTTATTGTAGATGTTTTAAAATTTAAAAACTTTAAAATTAACACATGAAAGTTAGACATTTGTGGGGTACCATGTAATGTCCAAATCTGGGTAAACATATCTATCTTCTCAAACGTTTATTATTTGTTTGAGATAAAAATATTCAAATCCTTTTTTCTAGCTTTTTTGAAATGTATGGTACATTATTATTATTTGTAGTCACCCTACTGTACAGTAGAACACCAGAACTTTCCTATTAATTATGACTTAATACCTATTGTCCAACCTTTTGCCCTCCCTATCTTGCCCTTACTTGCCCAGCTTTTTCTTTCAAATTCTATGAGACCAACTTTTTTGAATTAAGAGATCATACAGCATTTGTCTTTTCATGCCTGACTTATTTCACTTAACATAATTCCATATTGTCATGAATGACAAGATTTCGTCCTTTTAATGGCTAATTAGTATTCCATTGTGCATATGTCCCACTTTTTAAAAATTCATTCATTAGTTGATGGACACTTAGGTTGTTTCTGTTTGTTGGCTGTTGCAAATAGTACTGCAGTAAATACTGAAAATGTTTTTTCAAGAGACTTATCTCACTTCCTTTGAATATATATGCATTAGTGTGGTTTCTGGATCATATGGTCATTCTATTTTTCTATTCTGTTTTCCATAATAGCTTTGCTGACTTTGTTCCCAGCAGTGGCGTGTAGGGTTTCCCTTTCTCCATATCCTTGCCAACAGTTGTTCTCTTTTGTCTTCTCTTTAAAATGCTAGCCACAGTAAATACTCATAAAGTGAGACCCTATCTCAAAAATAACCAAAGCAAACAGGACGGGGAAGCATAGGTCAAGTAGTAGAATGTCTGCCTAGCAAGCGAGGCCCTGAGTTCAAGTTCTCGTACCACAAAAAAATTCCCATATGTTAAATAGGTTTGTTTAAAAATCATATATTTCAATCAAAAAAATTAAGAGGGATATGGGAAAAGAATAGCTTCAGTATCCAATATGGACCCACAGCTATAAAAGTTCTATATTCATCAGTCTTGAGATAAGGAATATTTGGGATCATTTGAACAAAATCTTAAAATTTTTCTTCCTTTTTATTTGTTTTTGCACAGCCCTTTTATTTCTTATTTCAGACTTCACATATAAATACAGTAATATTATACAAATAGGAATGGGGCTAAAGTATACTTACTGTGGCTAGCATTTTAAAGAGAAGTTTGTGAATAAACTATTTTATACTTGTACAGTTGTCAGTGTATGTTATAGATGTTACTTTATAAAGTATTTTGGCATACTTTAACCTTTTTTGGTGCTTCTTTTTGAAGCTGCCAAACTGTACACATCTTTATCGAAGCCCATATTACATTATATTTATAACCATTAATTCTCTTCTCCCTCTCAAGTGTAAGTTTTTTCCCAGTTATTTTTATTAAATTCTGAATATACATACAAATATTTATAAGGTATATAAAAGGCATGAAGTATAAGTTTATATTGAGCTGATATGTATCATTCAGTTTAAGAAACAGAGACTTACTATTTATTACTCTTAAAGTTCTTTTAAAAGAATGCATATTTTGCTGGAGGTGGTAGTATGTGCCTATAATAATCCCAGCAGTTGAGAGACTGTGGCAGGAGATTTGTGAATTTGAAGCCAGCAAGAACTATATTATATAGGGAGATTATTTCGAATTTTATTTATGTGTGTGTGTGTGTGTGTGTATAGAGTATAAATGTGTATTTTAAGCATATTATTTTTAATTGTCACATAGGAATCGTACATATTTATGGGTACAGTGTGACATTTAAATGCATGTGTTGGCTGTATGATGATGTCTCAGAGTATCATGTCTGTCCTGTCTGTCACCTCAGGCATGTTGCTTCCCCTGGTCCTGTTTTCTTCCTGATTAGAGGTAACCAGTATTCTGAATTTTCATTTCAAGTCTCATGTTTTTTTTATAGTTTAGCTCCATATGCCTTTAATCTTCAAACAGTAGTTTATTTTCCATGAGTTGGAACATCTGAAAGTGAAATCATGAGCGTATTCTGTGACTTGCTTTTTTACTTCATGCTCTGTTCCTGAATTTCATCCTACGTGGTGTTGATAGATGTTTACTCAGTACTTCTGTGAGAATTAGAGCAAATCCCTTCTGCACTGAAACAATTCCCAACACCCCAGTTGGGTCGAAGGCACAATTTTTCTTTTCTTTTGAGACAGAGTCTTACTTGTGTAGCCACGGCTGACCTTGAACTTACGATCTTCCTGCCTCCTCCCAAGTGCTGGGATTATAGGAGTGTACCACCATGCCCAGCTCTGAAGGCATCTTTATACAAAGAAAAGGCACTCCTTTTTCTAGCTATTTGTAGCCCATTAGGGTTTATGGTTTGGTAAACTGAATGTAGGTTGAATGTTAGCTTGTACTCACCCCTTTGGCTGGATGTCTGTGTGCAGTACATTAATGTCTTGCCATTCCATGATTATTACATGTAGTTCATTAATTTTAATGGCTCTGTGGCATTCTCCTACATAAATATATCACACTTTATTCTTTCTTCTGTGATGTACATTTGAATTATTTCCATCAAGCTGCCAGGTGACTGCAGCTGTTTTGGTGACTTCAGACCTGACCAATAATGAACTGGCCAACTAGCCCCAGTCTAAATTGCTTACCTACAAGATTGTGGGCAAATCAAGTTTTGGGGTGAGTGTTATATAGTGATAGACATGCCCAGTTTAGTTGGAACATTAGGATTCTAGTCTAAGATTTGCTAACAATCTGGAGAGTTGTATTCAGAATAGAGTTGTTTGCTGAAAACAGTTCTTTGATTTGTGTCTCTTTATTTCCGATTACCAAGAAGCATGTTTAACCATATGTTACGTAAGTAGCTCCTTAGCAAGCTAGTAGGAGATACCCATGTTTAATAAGATCTAGAAAAGTAGTTTGTGAAATATAGGTAAAAGTTGTTGCAGTTTTTTCATGGATTGCTGACGTTAAGTACTAAGTTTAGCTTTTAAGTATCTCTTGTGCTCTTACAGTTGAGTTCTATTGTTAGAAAGGGACCTTCACAGTAATTTAGTTTGAGTCTTATTTTATAGATGGAAAAACTGAGGTTGAAAGAGGGTTAACTAGAATCTTGTTTTTCCAACTCAGTCTCAGGCTCTTCCCACACTCTAACAGACCTTCACTTTCATGTTATGGTAGCTTCCTCTCTTTTCCATAGCAATCATTCACCTTCTGATAACTCCATTTGCAATGATTTCATCTACTCTTGGAGGCTTTTCTCATCTACTATTTTGCTAGCTGATAGGCACTTGCATGTAGTGAGACCATAGGGGCATTGCAGTATTTTCCAGCCCTCAGAAGTTAGTTTCTAACTTGAAAGAGGCTTAACATTTCTGTTCTAGAGTCACTTGGGAAGACTTGGGAAGAA